AAACATTTAGTACAATCCTACAGTAATAGCAGTTAGTACATAATAAGCATTATCATTCCCAGTTCAACTAAAAATAGTAAGCCAACAGCTGGGTGTGGAAATACACTCCTGTGACCCTAGCTATGAAAGAGGAAGAAGCAAGAGGATTACAAATTCAAGGCCAGGGTGAGAATCTTACTAAAACCTCACCTCAAAATAAAATTCAAAAAGGTGTTGGGAATGAAGCTCTAAAGTTCTTGCTACCATGTATGAGGCCCTGGATTCAATTCGCAATACCAAAAATAAGTCAACTTATACTCCAATTTGATCAATCACTCTTTTGTGAAATATGAATACACATTTTCACCTTCCCAGTGTGTTCCTACAACCCCTCCATTTTCCCTCTGCCTAATGTAGTCCAACACAAACTTTAAGGTTTTCATGAAGTTTAAACTCCCCAATGAAAATTACGCTGTAATTTTAAAATCTTGACATAGATTTGTTCTAATTCCTATTCAGTTTACCAGTACATTATTAGCAACTATGTGTTAATTTCCATTAGACTCTTTCAAAAGGAGATTATAAAATGCTCACGAAAACCACCAGTATAAGCCAGACATGCTGGCACACACTCATAACCCCTGCACTTGACAGGCTGAGGCAGGAGGATTGCTGTAAGTTCAAGACCAGCCTGGGCTACAAAGTGAGCTCAAGGCCAGCCTGAACTGCATAGTCAGACCCTGTCTCAAAAAAAAAAAAACAATAAACCAGAATGTTTAATCTTTTATAATGCTGAGGATAATATCAAATATATGATGTTCTCAAATCATACAGCTCAGTATAGAAAAAAAGTTCTTTATGTATGATATGTACATTTAAGTTAATACTCTAAAACACACAGAATAAGGGAGAGGTACAGAGGAATACTGGTAGAAGAAAAGTAAATTAAGCACACCATAAAACCATTTGGGGAATATTTAAATTCTGGACTATACAGCTGAAGGCATAACTCAGTGGTGAAGTGCTTAACCTACCTAGTATACGTCAAGCCCTGGGTTTGATTACCAGCACAGTAAAAAGAAAAAAAAAATCTTTATTGTAAGTATAACTTCAACCAAACTAGCTGTATTATTTTAAAATAATTCAAAAGTTCAAGGTGCCAGCTGGGAATAGTGCCACAGACCTATAATCACAGTACTCTGCAGGAGAATTACAAATTCAAGCACAGCCTGCTACCTGTCTCAAAAATAAAAATTAAAAAGCCTCTTTCATAGCTGGGGTTACAAGAGTGTATTTCCATACCCAGATGCTGGCTTACTATTTTTAGTTGAACTGGCAGTGATAATGCTTATTATGTATTAACTGCTATTACTGTGAGATTATACTAAATGTTTTATCCAAATAAAACAGGGAGGGGCTGGTGAGATGGCTCAGTGGTCTAAAGCACCTACTTACAACAAGCTTAGCAAAGCACAGGGACCGCAGTTCAATCCCCCAGCACCACATGCCAGCCAACCCTGCCCCCTGGTGGGCTGAGCTGGCCACACACACACACACACACACACACAAATAAATAAATAAATTAATTAAAAAAAAGAATTTTACAAATAAAACAGGGATATAGCTCAGTGGCATAGCACCTGCCTAGCAAGTGTGAGGTCCTGAGATTCCTGGTACCAAAATAATACATAAAAAGAGCTAGGGGGTGTGGTTCAGTGTAAAGATGATAGATTCAATCTCCAGTACCACAGAGTCCAAAATCTCGTTTTTATAATCCATAATTTATAATTTAAAGGGAATTTTCTGGTTCTCTTGACTAGGTCTTTCCTTTGCTTGGGGAAAGAAAAAGTCAACTTCTATCCATCAATTCTTTTAATTTTACGCTGTCTTAGTATCCACTTAAATACAAGCTTCATTTCTCATACAGAAGCCAGGCTCACTCACCCAGGACACAATTTTGACTTCTACACCTCCTCTTGGTTGGTCCAGATATTTGCCCTAAACCATATTCTCCTTGTGAGTACCTCTCTAAAAGACAACTACTATATACAGCCTACTTGACTGGCCCTCCACACCCCACATGGACTTGGCAGGTGGGACAGCCTTTCAATTACAAATGACATCCTGAAATGTGTGCTTGCTTTATGATTCCTTGTAGGAAGTCCATTTGGATAACATTCTGACCCCAATAAGGGGTTGCCTGCAGGTCCCTACCAGCCTGTGCTGATTTGTGTGTGTGGCATCCAGGCATGTGGTGTAACCCTCAAAGACATGCAAATAACAAAATCTTTATTCCCATGTTTTCTTATTATTGGGATATGCTGGTCTCTCAGTGTGATCTGTTGTACCAGGGGAGAAATGGCGGCAGGAATGAGGAGAAAACAGACACACAGGTAAGAGTTGGGGCAGTTGGTAGAGCTACAAAGTGACCTCAAGGCTTGCCTGAACTGTGTAGCAAGACCTTATCTCAAAAAGGAAAAAGAAAGTGATGGTTCATGCCTGTAATCTTAACTACTCAGGAGGCTGAGGCAGGAGCATGGGCAACTTAATGAGAGTTTGTTTTAAAATAATAAATTAAGAAAGAGCTGGGGATGTAGCTCAGAGGGAAAGCCCTATGTTCAGTCCCCAGGAAAGAAAAAAAAAGAAAAGAAAAGAAAAGAAAAGAATAGAGAAGGTAGGAGGGACTCACCTAAATACTGTTGTCATCAAATTGTAATATTCTGCCTTACTTAAATACAAAATGTACTGCTCAAGAGAATAAAAAAGTTTTAAAAGATATACTTTTGTGTAATAGGATCTTTGTTTGCAATTCCTTGACATTTTATTATTTCTTTTATCACAAATACAGCCAAGCATGGTAATACACCTTGTAATCCCAGCATTCTGGCAGGCTGAATTGACGGGATCACAGGTTTGAGCCCTGCCTTGGTGACATAACAAGAACTTGGTCTAAAAATAAAAACTAAAGAGCTGGGCTCTTCAAATAATAAAGCCCTTGGACTCAATCCCCAGTACCACACAAAAAACAAGCCAATATGAAACACATACTACATGTTTTCTTTTTATTGGGATCTCCTGGTCTCTCAGTGTGATCCATCCTACCAGGGTAGAAATGGTGGCAGGAATGAGGAGATAAACAAGAAGGTAAGAGCTCCGTCAGGCAGTGGCTGGACACCTGGCTGGGAGTGGGGCTCCAAAGAATAGTAAGGGCCTTTATGGGATTACAAAGTTACAAGAGACAAGGTTGCCTAGGGACTAATAGCCCTAGCCCACAATGTCCAGGCTGAATGTTTTTCTCTAGAGTGAGGTAGCTTGAGTGCTTTAGGCAATGAGGCCCCATCCTGCCCT